AAAAAAAAAAAGTAACAGCAATACCCAAGATTTGCCGATAACTCATTTTATTCTACTCCTGATTTTCAGCTGGTTCTCAACGATCAGCAACTGAAATAAACAAATGACGTTTCTAAATCAAGCAAAAATAATACAACACGGTGACCTCCAAACTTGTGGGTGTCAAAAGTTCTTCAAGATCTTTTCAGTCGATACACCATCAGCTACAAGAAGCGAAGTCACCTCCTGCAAAATTCAGATATTACAATGCATGGTTACAATTATTTATAGTTTGATCTAGAACAACAGCACAGAACTTTCCTTCCGTATTGGCTGACATAATTACATGATATTTTGTTATTTAATCCCATAGGAAAAATATTAGCGTTGAAAAGAAATCATTCGAATCTGCAGCAGAATCTGCAGCATCTTTGACCCTATTGGGTCTTACTAAACCGGCTTTCATGGGTGACAATGTGACATCAATTAGGATTCAGGTTCTTGGTTATATTTTTCAGATGAGGTCAACCAAACATATAATAGTAATGTTGGTATGTAATACACTTTTTTTTTTTTTTTTTGTGCTTGTTCAAATGCATGTTCCTCTTTTGATCATATGATATCATCAATAGTGTGACATGAGAAGGTAAGGACTAACCCTAATATTTGTTTGCATAAGAATCCACAAAAGAATGAAGACTCAAAGAACAACTTAAAACTACACAATGACTATTTATAATAAAACCCACAAAAATATACTAAAAGGCATTATTTAAACTCTGTTACTCGACCACCAATAAGCCAATAAAAAAATACCTACCTCGGCCATCTGCTTTTGACCACAGAGCACTGCACCAGTGGATTGAGGAGTAATGATATTTTTCTCTTTCTTAAAGGCAGCCTACAAATCCAATAGCCGTAAGAATATACACAAGGAGATTTTCAAGAAGGTAACAGAAAGAAAAATTAGAATAAATGCGTCAACAACCTGAACATAACCTCGCTCCCCTTTCCAACTGTCGTCCGGCTGTGACAGCACGGGCACAATATCAACTCCAGAAGATTCCCAATCTTTAAATCTCTCCTACAAGTATTTAGAGGGAAAACTCAGTGATAAACAAGCCAAATTTTAAAACTAGCACGGTACTAGTAAACCCTTCTCACACAAAAATATACAGGGAAAAAACTCATGGACAGCAAGCATGAGACAAGTACCTGATATGCCATGCGTCCAAGACTTCTGGCTCCATAATAGAGCCTAACATTGGATCTCTTCTCAGCATTGAAGCCTGCCTCGATCAAAGACCGAATTGGGCTATATATGACAAAGATAAATATAAATAGAAAGACAAAATAGAAAAAGAAAGTGTACACATGCAACCAGGATAACCAATTTCCTATTACATGACAGCAGGCAATGCTTGATTGATGAACCTATCAGTAAGGAATGGAAAAGCAGAGGGCAACAATAATGTGGTAATTGACATTCAATACGAAGAAAACTGTTGTTATCGATTTTTTAAATCGATGCAGAACAACAATCAGTTATACAACTACATGGCAAGCAATAACCCTCGATGTGAGAAAAGTAGAACAGCAGTGCAACTATAGCATCGCCCAATTCATGTACCATATCACAGTCTGCTCATTAGATCTCCTTCTCAGATATATGATAAAATTTGACAAACAACATTTTTATACAGTTAACCAAGAATCAAATTACATTATTGCCTGGTGAACTTTTAGACAAGCTCATTGTTCCAGAAACAAGATGACAAATGATCAAACAACCAAATTCAATTCCATCCCCCAAATTCCTGTCAACTCTTGAAGAAACACTCACGATTAAGTTGGAGATATTGAAACATGTTAAGAAGTTTATTTTACCTAATTATTGAGTTAAACATATTGAAACATGTTAAGAAGAATTCTTTATTTTACCTAATTCCAGACCCGGTGGCGAAAATCACCACCGTCTGATAATTTTCCGGAGGGGATATCTGATGGATATTGAAGCCTTTGCCCATGGCCAGAGTCAACTCCACGACATCGCCTTTCTGAAGCCCGCACAGGAGCTCGGCGGTGGATCCCGCAGCGGACTTTATCAGAAATTCGAACACGCCCTTGGACACGGCGGTCGAAGGCGGCGACGCGATGGCGAGGAACGCGGGTTTGGTGTCGGGATCCTGAAGGCGGAGCTGCAGATACTGGCCGGCCGTGGTGTAGGAGCCCGCGAGGTCGGGGGTATCCGACACGTCGATGGTGATGTTGAAGAGCGATTCTGCGGCCGGAGAGATCTTTAGCAGCGGTGCAGGTGTCCAGAGAGTTGTGTCCTGCCGGACGGCGGCAGCGGAGACGGAGAACCCGCGGCGAGAGAGGTGGCGTAAGGGTTGGAATTTGGCGAGGGTCATTGGTGGGTGGAGAGGTGGGAGGGTGCGGCAAGGCGCACGGAAACTAGGGGTTGGAGTTGAAATTGACAAGTGAATAGCTGCCGCCATTTTTGGAAGCTTTGGGTGTGTAATTTTGAGCCGTGGCAGGAAGAGACTAGAAAGCGCCGCCGGGGACGGCGGGCCAAGTTTGGGATTGTGTTAACGAGCGCGCGTGTGGAACTCGGACTGTGGAAGCTTAACAGTTAACGTGGCGCTTCATGATTATTTAACGGGATTACATTTTGAGGAAATAGCTATTTTCACCTCTGAAGTGATACTAAGTTTTTCACATCACTCAATAAAAAGCTAAGTTTTTGTTAGTCAAATGAGTGTTAATTAATGTGGGTGGACAAACAATCAACCACATCCCACCAATTCAGCACCTAACATTATTTGGTGGCCAAATTGCAACTAATTATAATAAATTATTTCAACAATTGTGCAATTTTCCATCTATAAATGTGGGAGTAGAATCAGAAGAAAGACACGGCAGAAAGAAAAAAAAGAAGAGAAAGAAAGAAAGAAGGAAGAAAAAGAAAGAAAGAAAATAATATTTATGTTCAAATACCGGATATAAAATTATTAAAAGAAAAGGAACGAGTGATATTTTTATTTGT